AGTGAGACCCCAGGCACACACCACTTTTTCCATTATGTGCGCCTGTGTTTTCAAGGTAGGGTCAGAATATCATATCTGGCTTAGAATTCGGAGTCACCCCAAAAGGCCACAAAGGGTTAAACGCATCTCTTTAAGGCGTTTGACTAGAGATCGTGAATGAGATTCCCACTAGTGGGATTTATTCTGTCTTCCTTTAGAACCCGACCTATGCAACGCTGAACAAGCCCTATAGGAAAAAACACGAAGGTGTCGCCGCGCGTAGAACCGGCAACGCTGTCCGCCCTTGTACGTAGGAGGGCCACGCGTCAGCCTTGCACGCCCTCATTGATCGATCTGCTATACTTTCCACTAAATCAGGTCACTGTGTTTGCGGGTTGTGTCAGCTTGTCCGAAACCTACCCCGACAAATGTGGTGGGGTTCTATCATCCCTTTCCACTATCTTCGTAGAAATGCAGCGAGAAACCCCCTAGGAACGCGGAGTGATTACCTTTCGCATCAAAAAAGGACCCTTATACAGGACGTTGTTTGAAAACACACTCCGACGCCAATAAAGTACCATCACAAATCATCCAAAAATATATTTTACGTTTTTCTTGCGCAACGCTGTATTCAATTCATAAATGATACCGTTGTAAAGTTGGCTACGAACATGTATAACAAGGAAATTGAATGGATCATGTCAGCCAAACAGGCTCATACAATTAGTCTGTAGTCCTCACAATTTATCCCTCACCATTCAAAGCAGACCAATGTACGCTGTACGTTGACTCTATATCCAAAAGATATGCCGTTCAAGATTTAAGGGCTCGGGGAATAGGTGGATAGAATTATCGGGATTTGAAGCGTATAAATTCCTAACACCAAAAAATGGACATATACTTTCCCCATCAAAAATGAAAATTGCTCAAACATTTTTTCACATTTCAGATGCCCATGATCATTTTTGAAATACTTCATGCAGGGGCCAAACATTCAGGGTTGGGGGTTGTAGGGGCGGGGGAGAGTATATAAATTTCTAGCCGTAGTATATGTCAGTACACGCGTATATCATCATTATAGATTCCCCCGTACATTCGCCCTTGAAACTTGCATAAATATCAAACGGACGTGTCGCGTCTAGGTCGCACTTGCCGTTCACTACGAACTTAGATGGGTGCCCACAAAATCTTGTCTGCATCTTTCGTGTAATCTCTCACCGCCACGCTGCTCGAGCTGGCCAGCATAGCATGGCTGACGTTCCGAGATGCTTGATACCCTCAAGAAGTTTCTGGATCACAGCGTTATCAAATGGGTGGGAACTCTTTTCTTATAATCATAATAATCATCCTTTACAACTGATGACAGCGTTGCGTGGAAGTGCAGAGTCAATCTGCTCGACGCCATTTTTTTGAGCATAATCACCCTAGCGCTGCCGCCCTAGGTGAACCTATCTTCCCGACACATCGACAACTTCCTTCGACGCTTTTCAAGAATGCTTTTTACGTCATAGGGATAAAAGTTAATATGGCGCAGGCTACACTGTTACCACGAACGTTTGCTTCCCCAGTACTGTCCAATGCCACGCATTATTTGCATTTTGCAGGGACGGACTATGTTCAAGAGAAATCTTTAACCGACACGCAGTGGAGGTTGTAGATAAACTAACTTAGAGTAGCGCCATGATATGCAGTAGACTACAGTGGTTGACTAATCAGTCGTCGCCAGCTGCCCGTGTTTACTCACTAGAGTCCCCCTTTCCCCTGTATCCCCCTATAGACCTACGGTATCCCCGGGTGTTTGAATGAATGAATCGTGAAATTAGAGGCATTCCGGCCACCATAAGGAGCCAGCACCTCTACATTCCTTAGGCATGAAGCCTCGCTTTTCTAGCGAAGTTGAGTATGGCCTTGACGTCCTGGGGTCCAAAGTAATGAACCCCAGTATAGTCCGCCTTCAGTACCGCAGAACGTGCGCCGAGTTCTCTTCCTCTTCCCCGCATCGCCCACCGGAGGCATCCTCAGCCACTCCCATCGTGTTACGGCCAGACAATAGTCCTGCCAGCAACGTTAGGTTGGCTCTATCCAAAGATAAGCAAAAACGTCCATCCTTAGCACTGGGCCCTTCAATGCGTTCCCGAGCCTGGCGGAGATGTCTGGAGATACTTCTCTATTTCTCAGAGTTTTGTCTTGCAATCCACTACACCATTTTCTTCCTAACTCTGCGCGAGCACTACTAAAGCTTGCTGATCCTGTCTTCGCCAGAGCGTGCGCCGTCTCATTGCCCCGGTACCCACATTAACGATACCAGATGCCTCGCTGCGAGACAATCCAGAGCCTCCCTGCATTGCAATACAAGACTCAGAGTAATCTTCCAGGTACTTAGTGACTTGCTGTCGGAGAAGATTGTTATTCTTCTCCTAGGCCCTCCCCCCTCCAAAATACAGGATACCCACGCCAGAATCGCAAAGATTTCCACCTGAACAATAGTGAGAGCCTACTGTTAGGCCCAGAGCCCCCAGCGCCAGAGCCCTCTTCGGTGATCGAGCCATCCGTGTATCAGACCTGCCTGCCCACTCCGTAGAGTCTCCAGCCAAAGGCGTCGAACTCCTCCCTCGTTGGATACTCCACATTAAACTTGCGGTTGAAGCGATATTTAGGGGTAATGAGATCACAGCTACTTAGGAGGACGGGGTCCTTCCGTTGCAGTTAGACTGAGATGGCAGTATGACCCTTGACAGGATTCAAAAGGGCACCGCTGCCCTGACTCCACAGTCGATGTGCGACTAACTCTTGTTTCACCGCGGATCACTAGATTCAACGGTGGGAGATCCAGCATAGCTTCCATTGCAGTCACTGCGCTTGTAATGCTAATACAGGCCAAACGCTGAATTTTATTGAGTTTGACCTTAGTTGTCTCGGTTCCAATGCAAGGCAACCACACCAGGAAGCCGTAGAAGAGAGATGGACGTACTATCGTCGTGTGCTCGGTCACCGAAGAGGGCTCAGGTGCTGGGGTCTCTGGGCCTAGACCTAGGCTATCTCTGCCTCTCTGCCAGGCGGAAATCTTTGCGATTCTGGCTTGTGTATCTCACATTCTGGAGGAGGGTGGGCCTAGGAGAAGAATAACAATCTTATCCGACAGCCAGGCTGCAATGAAAGCACTAAGTGCCTGTAAGATTACTTCGAGTCTTGTATTGCAATGCAGGGAGGCTCTGGATTGCCTCTCAGCGAGGCATCCGGTATCGTTAATATAAGTACCGGGGCACGCTGGGATAAGGGCAATGAGACGGCGGACACTCTGGCGAAGACAGGATCAGCCAGCAAGCTCGTTGGTCCTGAGCCAGCTCTAGGAGGAAAATGGAGACGTGGGTTGCAAGACAACACTCTCAGAAATGGAGAAGTATCTCCAGACATCTCCGTCAGACACGGGAACTCATTGAAGGGCCCAGTGCTAAGGATGGACGCTTCTGCCTATCTCTGGATAGAGCCAACCTAAGGTTGCTGGTGGGACTGTTGTCTGGCCATAACACGTTAAGGCGTCATCTGCACGTGACGGGGTGGCTGAGGATCCCTTGTGTGACTATACAGACTATACTGGGGTCCATTACTTCGGACTCTCAGGACGTCAAGTAGCTTGGACTCAAAGCGAACTTCCCTAAAAGGGCGATGCTTGTGATCTAAGGATTGTAGAGGTGCATAAGGGCCCGCTTAAGCGGTTTATGCACTGGCTCCTTATGGTGGCCGGAGTGCCTCTAATTTCAAGATTCATTCATCGTCGTGTAGAACCAGTGTACCACTTTGGGTTAAAGCCCCCACCTTACACCGTAAACATGTCTGCAGGCGCATATTGGATTGCGAGCCTTGTTAATGCAGTCCGGGATAATTCCTAGATATTTTACTGATTGGGATAGAACTAACCTAGTCCCAAAGAAGGTCGGCAAGACAAGCCGGTCAAACCTTCTTCTCCTAGTGAATAGAATCAGCTCGGTCTTTCCAGCGTTTAAGATATACTTCCCTATACCACGATTCCACTTGATTAAAAATATAAACTAATGTTCGCCATGAAAGTTCTTTATAAAACAACCTCCGACATCGGACTCTAATAAATTAATGTTTTCCAGTAGATTGGAACACAGTGTATCACCATTTATAAAAAAGTCACCAAAGAAAGTGCTGACACACTATTGCCTCCTTGCTATTGCAGATCCCAATATTTTGCCCTTAATGCATCTCTGGGCAGATCCTTTGCAGCTCGGCCATATTCAGGCTAATACAATTACACAGTAGACATGGAGTCAAAAGTTTTTCTCTCTTTCCTCCAAGTTTTCTGATTTTACTATGTCAATGTTCTCAAGAGTTAAATAATACGCTTTCGATCCAAAAAAGTTATCCCTTCAAAAAGTGTCAAGAATTCGAGAAACTCGAAAACCATAGTTCTAAAAGGTTCCAAGATTTTCGAACATCGGATCCAATGTGAACTTTTCTGTTAGGTATCAAGCACGTGATAGTGGGACGTATTCAAACACAGACAACAATTGGAGTGACACTGCTCGAAAAACTCGGTCTCTAAACAACATGCATCATATATTGAAACTTCCGCTTTTACTGTTTCAACGGTACCAAGAGTTGAATCAGCTGATCAGACATCTATTAATGGATTTTTCTTCCAAAACAAAACACTTTCCATTCACCCTGATATAATTAGCTGACAACCAACAGACATAATATAAAACGGGATTGAAGTTGGCCTATATTTACCTCCAAGATCGACCAATTTATCCAATGTATATATAGTCCTGCGACCTTTGCCAACTAACCCTAACCTGTGAACTAATGTTACGAGTTACGAATATAAAATGCCACCTGCAACACCGCACGGTATTGCTTCACTATTTCCACACATTTTACTATATACAACAGGTGGACATTTTTGTTTGAGGGTTCGTCAAGTTTTTGAATTATACTTGTACATAGTAATAATAACAATGATAAAATAATTTATTAGTCCTGTTTAATCACAGATGTAAGTTAAAACAATACAAATCTAAGTTACGCATATATACGTATACAAGTATGCCGAAGTCAAAATTACTTTGTGTAGCGTTTGAAACTATCGACAGGAAATTGTTGTTGAGAAAATGTGAAATGTATGGAATTAAGGGAACAGCCCTCTTGTGGGTGGGTGATTATTTATCTGAGCGGTTACAAGTGATAAAAATTGAAAGTAAAACATCAAGTAATGTTTCTGTTGATGATGGAGAACCTCAAGGCGGCGTACTAGGGCCATTGCTGTTTATTCTATAGTATATGACAATGATATGTCGAATGTCATTTGCGGATGATACACTAATTTCAGCAGTAAATTGTAGATGTAATGAATAGTGAAATGAGCAAACTTAGTTTATGGTTAAAAACAAACAAGATTAAATTAAATGTGAGAAAAACTAAACGTATGATTATAGGTTCGAAGAATAATTGCAAGAAATTGGTGGATTTAAATATGCCAGTGAAAATTGAGGGAAAGGTACTTGATTTTGTAGATAGTGTTAAGTATTTAGGTATTATAATAGATCAGCAACTAACTTTCAACAAACATGTTGACTATATGTTTCGGAAATTAGTATTTGTGAAAATCTTAAGTCGCTGGTGCAGAAGGGTAGTCTACAATACAATAATTTTTCCTCATTTTACTTATTGTGCATCACTTTTGATTACATGCACAAATGAGCAAAAGCAAAGGTTGCAAATTCTATTAAATAAATGTATGCGGATTTTGTTAAATTGTAGCAGGTATACCCATATACAGGATAGGCTAAAGGCATTAAATTTTTTAAACATACACTAAATTATTCAAGAGGCAAATTTAATTCTTTCATATAAAATTATCAATAATCATCTTGAACAGTTTCTAAAAAAAAGATGTGTAATGCAAGGTTACGACATTAGACCAAAAGAACATTTCCATATATACTAAGTGACATATAAATCCGAACACTCAGTTTAAATGGTTTTACTTTAATAAAATTTTGTCTAAGTACTTAATGAAGCATAATAAGTAAATGATAAAAATTTCAAAATGATTGCACTGCTTTAAAGCCCTTTGACCTTTAATAATGTGTGGATGCACCCTGATGTGCTACGCATTCTCCAACGCGCCTAGGCATGCTTCTGATCAGGTGGTCAATGTCCTCCTGTGGTATCTCATTCCAGGCAACCACCAACTCCTCTCGAAATGCTTCTAGAGTCTGAGGAGGACGTTGCAAATTGAGCAATCTCCTACCCATCATATCCCACACGTGCTCAATTGGGAATAAGTCGGGAGATCTTGGTGGCCATGGTAACAATGTGACATCATTATGTTGAAAGAAGTCTACTGTGACTCTTGCAACATGTGGTCGGGCATTATCTTGTTGGAAAGTTGGATCTGCCAGGGTGTCAAGATAGGGTAAAAGATGGGGTTCTAGAACTTCGTGGATATAACGCTGCGCGTTCATGTTACCTCTGATGAAGATTAAAGGTGACCAGGAACCATAAGCTATAGCACTCCAAACCATAACTCCAACAGTGTGATGAACATGTCTTTCAACAAAAAACTGTGGATTCCTCCTTTCACCACGTCGCCTTCTAACCCTGGCACGACCATCGTGCATGCCTAAACAAAATCGAGACTCGTCACTAAAGACAATACTGTTCCATTCCTGATCCCAGAGTGACCGTTGTCTGCACCACTCAAGGCGATTACGTCGGTGTTCTCGAGTTAAAGGGAGGACCCAGTGTGGCCGGTATGAAAACAAGCAAAAACTTCGCATTCGTCGGTAAACACTTCGCATGCCAATAGGTCTTCCGTGTTCTGCAAACCATTCATTTGCAATGGACCTGGTAGTGGAGAAACGGTCCCTTAAGGCCAATAATCTTAGGCGGCGATCTTCACGGTCTATTGTTCTACGGCGGCGTCCAGTGCCCCTTGCTCTTTGCGTACGGCCTTCTCGAAGCCATGCCTGACAACACCTAACCACAGTGTCTACACTTCTTTGCATTCTAACTGCAAGTGCCCGAAAAGAAAGTCCAGCTTCCCGAAGTCCCACTATACGGCCCCTATCAAACACACCAAGTTGACGAAATCGTACAGGTCTCCGTACTTTAGGCATCGTAAAGGATGTCAAGAACCAAAATCCGCCAACGTTGATTCTTTACTGCGGCTGAAATATTCATTTTTAGAGCGTTAGTGAATTAAAAAAAAGCAGTATAAAAACCGGAATGTCCAACTGATAAGGCTGAACATTTTTTCACTTATTATTTACAGTAAGATAAATACATTCACCAACTTTTATTAAAATAAAACCATTTAAACTGGGTGTTCGGATTTATATGTCACTTAGTATATTTGATTAAAATTTCCGCACAATCCAACCGTTGCAAAATTTATATGATACAATATTAATTTGTTAAGATTCCACGATGTCTTATGCATCCAGAAATGCCCTTGAGCATACTCGTAATCAGATGATCGATTTCCTCTTGAAGTATTGCATTCCAGGCAACTTATTTGTATACCTCGTGCCGCTGGAGTCTGTGGAGGATTCTTCCCTTAATGCCCCAGACGTGTTCAATTGCTGAAAGCTCGGGAGATCTAGGACCAATGTAACAAATCAACTTGATTGTCTTCAAAATGGACCAACGTAAAGATGTGCCTATATGTGGTGGTGCATTATCTCGTTGGAAAAGTGAGAAGTAAAACAACAAGTTGTCTGTTTGATAACTGCCAACCCCGTATCCTATTCACAGCACTATTGACATCGGAGTTCAACCCTCTAAAAATAAATCAAATCAACCGGTAATGAAGAAGCAAATACCGTCTCGTATCAAGTCGACCAGACATTTCTTTTCATGATTTAACGACGTATTCAGCTTTCCAGATTATGTGGTGGCTGGTTCGAATTGTCCTCTGGATAACTTGGCAACGCTGCGCTGGAGCGTAATTGTTCTGGCTTCAGGACGGCCATAGAGCATGGAATAATAGCGTTAATGTCGGTATCCAACTATCTACCCACTTTCTAGACAGGTGATTCCAGTGTTGAATACTGAATAGAATCTACCTAGATGCCGATTTGATTCAAACTCTTCTAAAACCAGTGAACTCAAAATGCTCGGTATGTCACTCTGCGGTCTTCGTCAAGCATTTTCTTCACAGCAGCAAGCGTCATTTCTTCTAAGTGCGCGTAAAGTTATACCGTAAAGCTGCCCTTATCTCACCACGTGACCACGATGCCATAGTCGGCTACTATGCATTCATGGACATGTCTCAACATGCAGCGATCGTTTGTTAAGTCATATTGCAAAACTGTTATAGTACCCGTTGTATCTCGGAATTAAATGTGAGTGACACTTTCAGCTATGCTAAGGGCCGCGAATCTTGACGCGTTAAGGGCAAAAATGAAAAAAAAAGTAAATACCGAATCTTCCTTTTTCAACGTTTCAGTGTCATGCGCATTTTCATTAATTCTGAGGAACTGAAAATTAAGAGCTAAGTATCATTGAAAAACGTTCAACATACCGGTAATACTTCGCTCCGATATAGAAAATAAAAAATCTGCATACTTTCACCAAAAACAGTGGAGCATTTCTTGAAATTACATAATATTTTATTCATAACCACCATTTTACACCACGTATACATATTTTTTATGAAAAAAATCAGCATGGTCACACTTGACGCCAAAGCTTGAAATCGTGTTTGGTAGCTAGCCAAATACCTTGTATATTTCCCAAAATATTAAACTTGTTTGGAGTGAAGTTATTGCGGAAGCCAAAGCTTAGTTGTTTTGTGTTAAACGTAAAACAATCTCAAAAATAATGACACCAATCATTTTTCTTCGATCGTTTCTCACATTCCACAATTTCGTTAAGCATTGTGCTCTAAAATAAAATGCTTCTTGGGTGTTCCCAGAGATGTGGACGTTATTTTTGACAAGTCCGAGAAAAAAGCTTCAAACGTGTATAACAGAAATTAAATGGATCAAGTCAGTTAAACCGGACCATGTAATTAGTCCATAGTTATCTTTTTCCTGATTGAACCATACTCACCGTATATATTTTTGATAAAAAACTGATGTAAGCTTTTATTGTGAACGGATACAAGTTATTGGAAGCTACAGTCAATCTACTCGAGGCAATTTTTCATGTATCCAATTAAATTTCGTATACACGTGAAACTGTACATTCATTTTGCGTGTCTACTACTAGGCAGTTATTCAAATGTAAAGTAATAAAACAACAGAAGATGACGTTATGTTTTCAATGACCATGACATCACCAGTGTGTGTACTTGAAAATGCGGAAAAGTCGTGTCATTTTTTACATTGTATAATTTGACAAAATCTCATACTTTTATTTGTACTTTGCATATCTGAGATAACGTTTTATCACGTATTGGGGATAATAAAATTCATGAAACATGTCAATAATTAAAGGTGCTAATTGGAGACGTTTTGTTATATCTTATTGAGACATATGAATAATTTTTTCACCACAATCCTGAGAAATCGCCATTAATTACCGCATTCCTCTAAAGAGAAGTTACATAATTTTACCCCTAGATAATAATGATGATGAAATAAATAATAGTTTAAAACAACTAAAAAACACGCTTTTATAGCTAACCGAACTAAGAAGTAGAAAATAATTCAATCATAATTAATGACCTCAAAATAAAATATAAGGTATTAACAGAATAATTCAATTCAGGTTCTCCACATTTGTTTGCAGCCTCCTTTGCATCTGTCAATCTTTTCTTCATAATACTGCTTTTGTTTTGATCTCATAAGAGCAACAACTTTGTTACGTTTTTCTTTATATTTTTCGAAGTCATCCCTCAGGTTGGTAAATTTGATCGACTGTACAAAAAAATCTCTTCATACCTCGTTTGAGAGGGTCTGTATTATTCTTGCTCATACTCTTCAGTTTATTAGGTATGTAAGGTACTATTTATTGTGTGAATGTTTTTTTCATTTGTACATTATTTCAAGCAACTGCATAATGTTGCTGTTTGTGTTATTTTGTCTCTTTCAAAACTTATATTTGAGCTATGTATATGCCATGGTATACCAACTTGTTGCCTGTATTCAAATTCAAATAATATTCAGTCTGCTATCTGGGTTCATCTAAAGGCCGTCAGATGAATATCATTTGTCGTGGTGTTTGTTGGTTGAAATGTAATTTCCTTTACATATTCCTCTCCCGGTGTTTCTGTAACTCAAGCATTTGACAGCGTTGTTGCCGACTCCTTACATGAGGAAGTCCAGTTACAAGGCCAAAAAAAAAAAAATAGAAACGCTAAATCTCGTTTTTTTGTCGTTTCAGAAGATCCTGGTCATTTTCGAAAACACAGTTTGAAGTAAAATGTATCGCAATTTTTTATACTTCCAACCAGACCTATTAAAGATATTTCACACATCATAGATTTCTCCATATATTTGCCTTAAAACTATTTTCTGCAGACATTTCGCGTACCTATCGGTCGCACATGCCGTGCGCCACGGGGCGCGACATGCACATACGAGGTGGACCCGATATTATCTATATATACAAGCATCATGCTTTGAGTGTAATTTAATAATTTCGTTGTAAAGTATAATTATATACTATGCTCGTATGAGTACTATTTAGAGTTATTATAATCAGTTATTAAACATTGATGACAATTAGTTTACGGACGCGCTCATTGCTGCAATGTGAAATATATGTGAAGTATAGATTAATATACTTGAAGCCATTTTTACTCTTCTCTCAAGGCAAGTTTTACGAAAGAGAGATCGAAAGCATGTCAGGATCTCGTCTTTTTGCCCCGTGTGAACGTAGCTTTAAGCAGTCTACATCTTTTGAAAATTTTCTGGTCGTCTCCACAGCGGATATTTTCCATAATCAATCAGCTCGGAGAAAATCGTTTTCCACGTCTTTCCCAGCGCCTGTGTCGCACAGCCGGACACGTGATTATCCGGCTGTTACGTTGAACCAAACTAGGCATAATAATTTCAACGTGCAACTCCAGCAATCCTAAGAACTGGGAGTGACGGAGAAAGAAAGGGAAGGAAAAACCTTACGTAACTTCCAGCCTGTGGGAAAAAGGTAATGTGATGATCATCGACATTTGTGTCACTTTTATTTTACATCCCACGCTCAATTACATCACTGTGTTTTGGAAGCGTTAAACCGTACCAGATTGTTGCGTCGTCCAACAGTGTCTTCTCTTCGTTGATATGTAATAGAAACTATGATGGGGCCAAGAGCAAACCCTAGGGAACACCCGCGTCGACATTGTGGTATGCAACATTATGCTGTTCACTACTACCTGCAGTCTAACCGTTCCGCCCTGCTTTTCTTGGCAGAGACCGAAATCTCCATCTTACCTTCCCAAATTACGAGGTGCACTCCAGTATGAGGAGCAACAGGGGTGACTTTTGTCCGCGGTAGTCTCTAGGCGGAAGACCTTGTAATTTACCCCTGAGAATATAATTTCGTCGTAAAATCCGTCTATTCAATCTACTAAGTGTCATCGTCTATACTCGTTGCGGCCTTGGTGTAAAATGGCTCTACTGTTGTGCTAGCCCTACCTTGCAGGCTTGTCTGTCCAAAAATATTTATAAGTTTCTGTCGGTCTTTACACACTTCCATATTCGAACCTGTTTTACGTAAATAAATTAACACGCTTATATTAGCTTGGCCTGTATATATACTAAGTGACATATAAATCCGAACACCCAGTTTAAATGGTTTTATTTTAATATAATTTTGTATGAGTACTTAATGAAGCATAATAAGTAAATGATAAAAATTTCAAAATGATTGCACTGCTTTAAAGGATGTCAAGAACCAAAATCCGCCAACGTTGATTCTTTACTGCGGCTGAAATATTCATTTTTAGAGCGTTAGTGAATTAAAAAAAAGCAGTATAAAAACCGGAATGTCCAACTGATAAGGCTGAAAATTTTTTCACTTGTTATTTACAGTAAGATAAATACATTCACCAACTTTTATTAAAATAAAACCATTTAAACTGGGTGTTCGGATTTATATGTCACTTAGTATATAATAGCTAGAAAATCGACCTATTATTTTTCTCATTTTCACTGGTCCATTTAAATAACTGACCGTCTTTTCTGAAATGATAAAAATTTGAAATTCTTTGAAAGTTATCCTAATTCTTAAGCACAAAGACATAATATTCCATCTATAATGTACCCTTATTTATAAGGCAAGATTTTTTCACGACATTATTCAACATTTTAATAGAAATCACTGATATTCAGATTTCAGTTTCGATAAGGTATTTTCCTATTGGTCCAACTGATCGTCAAATATTAATGTTGGTGAAATTGGCCCTCAAACTATTATTTATTTCCACTTGTTCTATTTTTTCCTAATATGTGGAGAATATCGGCGCAATTAGTTTTGTTCCCGGTTGTGCTCGACAAGGAAAAACATTGTAAATCTTTTCTATTTTGTTGCAGATATAGGAGGAAACAACGAAACGCACCAAGATAGGGGAGTTGTGTTTCTTGACTGAACAAGTTTCCGCGTACGAACGTTCGCCACGGGTTTCATAGTTAGGATTTCAAAATTGCTGCCATGGGTCGCAAAAAAATACAAATATCAAGAATCACCGATGAGCGGAATCGGCAGGTAAGCATTGCCGTATTTTTTATTCTCTTTGATCATTAACGTAATCTCTTACACCTTGAAAACGCCAAATTACTTTTCCAACTAGTACATGTCCGCCCTAGCGTTCATTTGGGCTGGTCGGGTTCCAAATTAGCAAGGACTTGATCTAGCATGAAGACACGTTGTTAATTACGGTAGCTGCTGAGGAAAAGATAGATAGATAGATAGATAGATAGATAGATGGTCTTTATTGTCTTTTGGTCATAAATAGCTGACATAAGACTTGTCAACATTACATATACAATACATAAGTATGCGATATGCAAAAAAGAACAGGTAGTTAATTGAAACAGTAATTGAGATAATAAATAATAAACAAATAAATAAATAAAATAGGAGTCATTACAAACACAAACAAATTCTTAATGACATCTAACGAACATGAAAAAAAAGGATTTGTTTATCCATATCCTATCCATTCTGGATGTTGTTCAGAGAAGGGCTGTTCGACTGATCGATGGCTCTTTAACGCGATGAGCCTGCCAGTCGGACCCGCCTGACTTCGGTCTCCCATCCTAACCGTGTCCTCCTTCTTCCTTAGGGTGTGGAGATTGTAGAACAGTCTGCCTACTAACATTAGGCGGTTCAAAAATCGGATTCTTCAAGGCTGCGGTGCCGCGGTATTTAGGTTTCTGTCTACGCGGTTGGTTTGGTATTAGAAAAACTTGCGATGTGGGACTTTTTATCAAGCACAACAAAGGTTGTTTCACTGAATTCCATCAAATAATTGGACGTTTTAGCGGCTCACTCATTTGTAGCTAACAATGCTATCATAATTCATTTTTATCTCGGTGTAATATAAGTGTAGCACAAAAATATTAACAACCAGAACCTTCATTTTTGCCATGTAAGTGATCGCTACTTTCCTGGAAAGGGTATATCCTCTAGGATAAAAAGTATAGACCATCGAAAGCTTGAGTTTTAAAGTTAAAAGAGTACACTTTGAAAAAAATTTTGTCGAGTTCCCAAAGAAACATCAACGATACTTTTTACTTACTACTGAACTGAAGTAAATTAATTTTATAACATTATAAAGGGAATTGAAAGACCTTTGAAATAAGGTATCACTCGACCTCCCTTTCCATTTAAGATTTTGGGGGTCGTGTCACCCCCGCTTAGGGGGCTGCACGTGCTAACGTGATTTTTTTCCAAACTTGTGTCCCCCTCTAAAACAAAATCGACGGGTCTGAGCGTTTTTCAAAAAAAAAAACTGAGCTGCCAGTAAATGTGTCTGTTTCGTTTTCGATGCGCCACCCTGTATATATATAGAGAGAGAGAGAAAATAATCATGCGGAGAAAGGTATATAACAAAAAATAGGAAACTAATGGGCAAAATCCGCAAAAAGAAGGAAAGTGAATTCGAGCAGAAAATAGGATAGGTAACCCGAGCAGTACGTATTTCTGCTTGTTCGCTTCATCAGGTCCGCAATGAATGCACATATGCAACCACAAAAGTATATTTACATGACCATACATCCGGATTTCAAGCCCACAGCAGGTGGCTATAACCGACCGCGTGTTTGTGGTTAGACATCGTGTGTCAAACATTTTTTTTTTCGACCTCCTTCGTTTCTTCAGGTTACACCCGTATCCGGATGCATGGGCATGTGTATCTACTTTTGCGGTTGCATATGTGCATTCATTTCGGGCCTGATGAAGCCAACAAGCACAAATACGTATTGCTCGGGTTACCTATCCTATTTTCTGCTCGAATCCACTTTCCTTCTTTTTGCGGATTTTGCACATTATATTATATATATATATATATATATATATATATATATATATATATATAAATTTGAACTTCAGTGCAGATTCGTAAAACTTATTTTCTTACATTTGATACACAACTGAAACAACCCAATAAACCAAAATTGTGGTCCCTCTATGCATACTATATCAAGTTAAGCGTTGTAAAATTCATATTTAAATATTCGAATTGTATTTTCAATAACAACGTTGAAAGACGAGAGAAGACGTGTTTTTAATTAATTAAACAAATTTTATTAATTAAAAATTAACGTTAATTTATCCTGTTCATGTACGTTTTAAACATCAAATGGCCCAAAAGGCAGAGAATTGGCAAAGCCATTACACGCTTCCGCTAGCTGTATATTAAACGAAAAAGTTCACAGGGTTACAGGATAAACAGCCAGGCGGTAATATGATACAGCAGCAGACCCTTGAACTGGTTAAAACAGTACAGTTACAGTTTGTCACAACAAATTCGAACAGGTTAGAAGCCAAGTCTCTGTTTACATTGCGGTGTTCGACTCATAACAACACACATAAACTTATCTCTGACTTTTGCTTATATGCATTAACATCATTTTATATGTAGAATGTTATACTTTGCCCTTTTATCCAACTTAGTGATTTATTTTACTCAATTAATTTTGTATTTTGAAACCTCTGCATTTTTAGTGATATATATATATATATATATATATATATATATATATATATATATATTGGTGAAAAATTAAAGCTTCCGCCTTTTGTTGGGTACTTCGACAAGAATTTAAGCAAGGAGGACTCTTTATACTTTTTTATTCTCTCTAGCTTTCAATGGACTTTGCCATCATCATCAGGAGCTGCAATTACATTGATAACAGTAGCAACAATAGTGTAAAATGAATTTAAATTAACTTACAATAGTGAGGATGTTGCTAACATACTACTGTAAGTTAATTTAAATCCATTTTAAAGTATTGTTGCTGTTATCCATGTAATTGCAGCTCCTGATGATGATGGCAAAGTCCATTGAAAGCTAGAGAGAATAAAAAAGTATAAAGAGTCCTCCTTGCTTAAATTTTTGTCGAAATACACAACAAAAGGCGGAAGCTTTAATTTTTCACCTAACTGGTCTAGACGACAATGACCACGTCTCAAGTTATATATATATATATATATTGTTCTTATTATTTATTTTGTGAATTGACATTTTACGAGTTAAGTGGCAGAATAGCTTTTGCTAAACTTTGCCCAATAAAGACGTTTTATTAACGCAAAACTGTCGGAAATCAAGGTTATCGATTTTCACGAAATTCAGTTAAACACTTTCCTCTCAACATCAAAATGGGAAATCCTGTGTAGTTTGATAGAGAAAATGAGCGTATAGTCTTCAAAGTTTCATCTAAAAATAACTGTCTAATTTTAGACGTTTATTTGACTCATTTTGTGTGGCGCGGACCGCGGAGTATTTCTTGGATAGCCAGCCAAATGTTTCACCTCATCAACTACGTGAACTACGAATCTTTTATACAATGAAACTTGCGGCACATTTTATGTTGATATAAGAAAAGAGGGTCGCTATCCAGTCTCATACAAGAAGATTCAAATTGTAGTCAGAAAAATGGTACAGCATGAAGAGGTCAGTTGACCAAAAAAAGGAATGAATGCTTTTTCGCGCGAAACAGCTTGTAAATACTCACTGTTTAAATTAAAAAAAATGGCATTATAAACCCCGAACCTTTAGTTTAAAACACCAAAACTGCTGAAGATGGAATTACATTTGGTGTTACGTTTTACGGTCAATTGGGTCAAACCAACAAAAATTTTTTCTTGTCAAATTGTAAGCCTGTTGACAGCATGACTAGAAAAACGTTGTTTTTTTTGAAAAACTACTTCAGAATCATCGAATAATCGTTTAATCACAAGCTCTTTTTTAAATTTATCTTAATCTGGTTTTAATCTCACACGGTATTTTTGCTGGGGGTCAACAAAACGTACATTTATTGTGAAATTATTTGATAAATTTTATCGGTTAATTTGTATGTATGACATTTTAATTTGATCATTGTTTCATTGAAATATTTGTTATTTATCTTTTGCTTTCTAGTCAGATGGATAATACTTCATTTTCCAGCTTCTTTGTATATTTTTTCATAATGGGAATCAAGAAAATACTCACTGAAATTGTTCAGTAACTACTAATGTTAAGGACTTGAAAACATTCAAAACGAGTCCTGAGACAATTAGGAACTATATATAAAAGCATACAAACTGAAAAAAATACTATCGTGGCTTAAAAATACTAATTTTGGAATGGTCTATTTTTTCCAACAACTTCATTGCCTACTTTGAAAACGACCGTCGAGGCGGCGGTAACGTAAGTCAACTCGTGTTTAACATCGATGATATTTTTTGTCAGAAAAATGTGGACATTGTGTACAAATCTTTGCGAACGATATCGGATCGGACTCTTTGGTAGGAATATTACAAAAATATGTATATTATTATAAACTTATTTTTAAATAACAATTTCAGTTGAATCATCTAATTAACAATTCAGATTATATCATTAAATTGTTAAAAACAAAAACTTGTTTGATGCTAATTTTTATTGCAAAATTTGATAACGTGATTTTTCCTTATGTATCAAAGATTGGAATTATACCGTACAGTGAGCAGGAAAAAATTAGTGCAACTAAAATATTTCTCTCTCTGCGACAACCGACAACAAACGGGAACAACGCGCGAACGCGCGTGAGCCTAGAGAGATTCTTGACTTTGGTCGCAGGTTTTCATAGACTCTATGAGCTTAGGCAGGCACTGTTATGTGTGCCACGTAGCTGTGACTGTCTTCTTTGTGTCCGAAACGACGTGTCGATTTGAAAAATACAGCAAACATTTTTTTCTTAAGACATCACAGCCACGGGTGTGTAATATTGCAAAACTTTCATAGTATCCTATGTAAAATGCCGCTTTTTCGGGGTGTTCGCTTCAAACGTTCAACTTTAGAGAAAAGTTAAAAAACTTGCTCCAGAGCAAAAGCAAATTTGCATCAAGATGCAACCTTTTGATTCATGTTAAGGGGTATCCATCGAACGTGATTTTGAAAAAAACCGAATCAGAAAATGTCTCCCACGAATACGAGATTTCCACCTCGTCTATAACATGATCTCATATAGTCAACCCACCTTTTTGTACCGTGTATTTTAATTTTCCGGAGAAAATATATATTGACAATGCAGTCATCAAATGATTGAAAACAATTATGATGGCTAAGAATAAATTATATACACAGATGCTTTAACTATTCTACACATTTAATAGCGAATACAAGCAATCATAAATTATTATATTTCCTCGACAATTAGTTTTGAATGATGAAAAGGATATTGCACAACATTATGATTCAATCCTAGATGAACGTAAAGATAAAAAATAGGACTGTAACTGAAAACAAAACGAAATTTTCGTACAATGTTACCACTATGCCAAGGACGAAAAAGCTTTGTTTGTTTTTGAAAGTCGGTCCAGCGGCAGCGGAGAAAATGGCCAAAAACGAAAAAATCGTTATAGAGCCTTCTGATAAATGAATAGTAGTTTAGTTGTGGGGGTGGTACACGGTGTATCGCACTTTTTTGATCTTAGTATTTTAATACACTTCCATCGCCGGTATTTCTAGGGACGTACTAGATATATTTCATACATCATTAAAACAAACAAATGTTCAGATATTGGGGAAAGGCGACGCGACGTTGTCAGGTGGACTAATTGTACGGACCTGTTTGACGGACTTGATTCTGCACAGACAGCTGTTTCATGCTTTTTTGCAACTCATCAGCATGATCTAGACGTGGTCTCCGCATTAGGCGCTTCCAAATGGGGTATCACATACCCATTTTAAAAAACGTGACGCCCAACCATCATCTTGAAACTTTATATCTATCTAAATAAGAAATAAGTGGGAGGGATCCGATCAAGCTGAATATACAGGAAAGTAAACGTATGAAAGTATTAAGTGTATATTCCTTGAGGATTTTGTACACGTGTGTATGCGAGGTTTCAGTTCGGTTAATGCTCAACGAAATCCTTTTTCTTTGAAGATTTTCTCCACGCTATCTATCTTTGAATATATTAGGTGTAAGGTTCTTTATAACACTTTTTATTGTACTTCAGTGAAAGCAATAGGCGTACAAAAGAAAATGTAAGGCTGTTATCGGAAAGACGAACCAAAATAAAATGTGAAAAGAATTACTGATATTTAACAGTTCTAAAACGGTGTTATTTTTATCTTCAGACTAAAAACATGATTCTCGAGCGAACCCGTTCAAGCGTAGTACTTCAAAAAGAACGATTTCCAACCGAATAATTGGAATTACTTTTGCCTGACCACATCAATATAGTACGCATTTTAGGTACTACCGAAATCGTACGTGCTAGACAAAAAACGCAAAGCAACGCCGTCATCAGTTGCCCCCACCGTTCTAAGGGGAGGTACACTTTCAGAAATAGCCATGTTTAAATCCCAAAAAATCTCAATCCTATTCGACATAAACAAATTGGCTAACCAGTTCTCGTTCGTTCCAGGTAACTTTCAACAAGAGGAAATTCGGTGTGATGAAGAAGGCGTATGAACTGTCAGTACTCTGCGACTGCGAGATAGCACTCATCATTTTCAGCAGTAGCAACAAATTGTACCAGTATGCCAGTACGGACATGGACAAGGTCCTTCTCAAGTACACAGAGTACAACGAGCCTCACGAGTCGCTCACCAACAAAAACATTATAGAGGTACATCAGATCCAGCAGCAACTTGATTCGTATTCGGCTTATGCACCAACTGACGTATGTCATATGTCACGTGTCAAATCCATCAATCAAATGCGCGGATAGGGCGCAAGGCAAGTCGTTTGCAACATGGATGTTGTTGAATGTTATCAGTTGTTGCATATGCCTGTTACATATACGAGTTGTTGCTTAAGTTTTTTTTTCAAAGTAATGGAATGAATGTTGTACGGCTGACAAAAGCACCACTTTTTTCCTGTTCCTAAGTAGCAGGTATATTTCGGGTATTATGTTAATAAACCAGAGAGGAGCTGTACTAAAAGAAGAACTGCGCAAAATGTCTTTGAAGTTTCCGGCTGCCTCCATTTACCTTGTCTCCTAAAATTGGATGACACTGTGTTACTGGTTGTCTATTTCACCACATTTGTGCAAATAATTTTCAACTTTTCAAGTTTTGTTTTATTTGCAAATTCACTTCAAAACCTTGAGTTGTGACAGACGGGTATCAGAACCAGCCTTCCGTATCTTGAAAAGTGACATGTTTTTTTTGACATTATATTTATTACTTGTTAGAAGTGTCTACAGCTAATAGTTTTCGAGATATTTGTTTTTAAAGGTCCCAATGCATTATTTGTACCATGATGTTAAAACATTTTTATATCATAATAATCAAGTTGCTTTGTCTGAGTAGCGTTGCTATGGCTTCTAACGTTTGTCATGATATTGCCATAAACAATAATGGATTCTCGTTTCTCATACTAGGAAACCTCCCTAAACCGAGTTTTTTGCCAATTCTGAAGTACTTCTTAAGCAATAATGAAAAATAGAAAATGAAATTGTAACTTTGACACCCTGTACCTCGCAAACTATCAACTTTTGGACTGAGGTATGTTCAGGTCAATTCACATATTTTGGTCTGTAGTATCTCCAGTTTCGAGATTTCCCAACCTTTCGTAGACACCCTGTATATGTATAGAAAAAATGATTGGTATATACATATATATGTATAAAGAGAAAATAATTATGAGGAGAAAGGTATATAACAAAAAATATGAAAAAAATGGAAAAAATCCGCAAAAAGAAGGAAAGTGGATTTGAGTAGAAAACCTAGAATTTTCAAGGCGACACACAACCAAAATTTGAGGTCTTCTAGCCATTTTATACTACAATGTGTATGTTGGCTCTCATTGGGGACTTCGTGTGTCATTTTTCCCTCTCCATCTTCGTTTCCTCAGGTTACACCCGTATCCGGATGTATGGGCATGTGTGGGCACATATGTGCATTCATTTCGGGCCTGATGGAGCCAACAAGCAGAAATACGTATTGCCCGCTCGGGTTACCTATCCTATTTTCTGCTCGAATCCACTTTCCTTTTTTTTGCAGATTTTGCCCATTATTTTCCTATATATATATATGTATATATATGCAGTCTTTATATATGGCGGATAGGAAGTGGTGAGCTTTGTGGTAGCGTTCAGGAATCGCTGTATACGGCAGGAATGTGCACGAAAGAAGTGGTGGTAGATGAGAAATACGTTTGGAAGGTATGAATGTAGACTGAGGGCATAACTCCATGAGCTGGTCCACTGACACTTGCAGGCACTTAACAAGAAGGAGCATAAGAACGGAGTAATGAGTCCCGACAGCCCTGAACCTGAGACGGAGTACCAACTGACCCCCAGAACTGAAGCCAAGTACAGCAAGATAGACGAAGATTTTCAGATGATGTTACAACGGAATCAGATCAACGGACAAAGGGTAAATATAGCCTGGAAACTTGCTGTACAGTATTACCTAAATATCTGTAAATTAGAGACTGACCGATTTAGGGTGTTTGTTGCTACGGATAACACGGACCAACAGCCATTTTGGTGCCGGAGAAGTGAGGACTGAATTTGAATTTTTTTTTTGATACGCTGATTTCAAAAACGTGTCAAGTTTTCGAAATGTAAGCGATTTGATATTTGAAAAAGTTCAAAATATGCTATTTGCAACCCCGAAAAGCAGTATGAAATAAACGAAAATTTTAATGTTTCCAAAGTTCCTAATTATCCTTTAAACATCCATTAACCAAGCGCAGATCCAGGGGGTCATGAATCTAGTGTGACCACTAATAATAATGACTATCGAATTTCTTTAGCTTTCTAATGAGGTATGGCTCATAAAAATCGATTTACCAGTGACAAAATTAGAAATCTTGATACTTTTTTTCGCGGAAATGGTGCCATCTGAATCACCTCTCCCTAGTATCTGAAAGCATGATGGGTCATAGGCGTTAGAGCGCCAGTGATGCAGGTCATATACGAACACCGGCACGCTGGCCGCGGCCGTTAGTCAGCAGATGCACAGACGCGTGTCGAAAATATTTTATTCTCGTTTTACGGACAAATGTACGGAGCAATCTGATTTTTTTCGTTTTTGACAAACTTGAAATGAAAAAAATGTGCGCGAAAGCAAGGAGGGTAGCCTGCTGTGAGGATTGGTTGGGACCAGAGGAAAGGGGGGACTTTCTCAACCGGGCCATCACTGGAGACGAGTCTTGGTTCTACGCATTCGATGTGGAGCTGAAATCTCAAAGCATGGAGTAGAAGCAAGCAAGGGAACCGAGAACAAAAAAGTCGAGAAATGTTTGATTGTTTTCTTTGATTCTCGGGGCATTGCTCACCAGGCATTTGTTCTTTCCTGCCAGGCAGTGAACGGAAATCTCTACATTGATGTTTTGCGTAGTCTGAACAAACCTCGTATCTTGTTCTATTCAAGAACATATTTTCCGCGGTGCAAATGCGAATATCAAGGCACTCGCCAATATTCGCGAATGCGAATATTTGTTACATCACTAGCCCGTATGAATATTTTCATACGAACTTTTGACATCAGTGTCTTGTGTTTTTTGTGTACTGGAAACTTGCTCTGGGACACCGCGAATGTGATATTCTCTGAATATCCCTAACAAATCGATGAGAAATTATCCAATTGGCAGTGATTCTGTATATGTCTAAATCGCTGTGTGACATGAATTAATTATGTCTCCCACGCGTGATACGATTGCATCTACCTTCATTTCATTCATGTCCGGATTTTAAATAGATATGCTGTTATGCGCATTTGCCCCGTTTCCAAACTGGACCTAAAAACAAATGAAATCACAAAACTATCTAACTTGAGGTAGTATTTTTTTTATGTTGCTTATGCTTCCAACACAGTAAGTACTGTGTCCCAGTTCTACCAACTTTATGGAGTTCAAAAATTTCTTTAAGCTCCGCACCCTGGCATACACACTTCTGAATACACGTCTGCTCCAAATTTTTATACCAAATTACAAAAGACAATTTTTTATTCGCTCCGGATCCTGTTCTTTGAACCACCCAAACGGTGGTTCAATGTACATCCAACAGTGTCATGCACCCATATAATTAGGCTCCATTACATAAATGTACGACTGTGAATGGAAACTGTGTTGCTCATTGCACATCGACAATTCTGATCAAAACAACTAGAGTTGTTTGTGGGAGTTGCTAAAATTAAGCTGCTGGAATATTCAAATGCCGAATAATGCAGCACGCTTGAATTATATAATGCCCCATGTTGTTGCACTCGTTTTAAAGGTTTTCTTTTTAATTAAAATATCCCAGGCAAGAGTTTAGTCAATGGACACAGCTTTAATATTGCTACGTTTTACGTCTATACAGGGTGGTGTATTTTCTCTATTCACAAGCTTTCTTTTGATATAGGTTTTTTTGATAGTTTGTACGACTGGTTTTTGTGTCACAGCTAACGCTTTCGTAAACCGGATCGATGTAAATGAAAAGTATTTCAGCTCCTTACGAAATAAAAAAAACAAGGAAGCTATCTACTGTACAGAAAAAAAATATTTTCCAAGCCAGGAACATACTGTATAATTTTTGTAATTAAGGTTTTTAGATACCATGTGTGATAACGGAGCACACACTAAAAATTCACCCTGTATGTATCTGCACTTATATCTGTATTGTCATCATATGAGAGTTCGCCTACTTGACACATTTTTTAATTACAGGTTAGCATGAGTTCGTCAAATTACACACAACCTGTCTCAGTACCTGTGAATATAAGCTACAGTGATTCTGGTCTTCTACAATCTAGTCCCCAGATGGCCCACACTAGTATTAGCCCTAGGCCATCTTCATCTGAAACCGATTCAGTCTATCCTAGTGGAGGTAGGTGTACGTAACTCTTATCTATACAGGGTGTCCGCAAAGTTGGGGTTTTCCTTTACACGACGTGTAGATCTTGAAAACATAAGCAAGTTTTCTTAGTACCATATACACCAATGTCTTAAGGGAACCGAGATAAAGGGCTCTGCAACATCAAAAATATCTGAATACCGTCCTGTAGCCGCGACTCGCGACATCCCCGAGTGGTACTAGGACACTAGCTCAACCCGACGACAGAACTGGGTCGAGGTCAGTGTGTCAGGTCAGTATGCAACCTTCAACCGACAGTTACGGTCACGCGTGTAGAGGTAAACGAACCCGTATAATCGATTGCGTTTCAAAAAACAACAAGCACTAGAGACGTGGCTAGAGAAGTGCAAGTATCAAAAACTAAAGTGTGGCAAACGCTGCGTGAAGAGGGGCTGTATCCGTTTCACGTCCAACGTGTACAAGCCCTTCAACCTGACGATTTTCCAGCAAGAGTGCGGTTTTGTGAGTGGTTGTTGCATCAACATGACAATAATCCGGACTTTTTGAAATGCATATTGGTGACAGACGAATCTACGTTCACGCGTAATGGGGTGAATAACTTTCGCAACACTCATGTCTGGTCAGTAGAAAATCCGCACGCTGTCCGTCGGGCACATTTTCAACAAACATTTTCGGTGAATGTTTGGGCTGGCATGGTGAACGGTATGCTCATTGGACCATTTATTCTCCCAAATCGATTGGACGGGATGCAATACCTAGACTTTTTACGCAACATTTTGCCTTCCTTGTTAGAAGATGTGCCATTAAGTGTAAGACAATCAATGTGGTTTCTGCGTCTGCTCGGTAGCGCATCAGCTGATTTCATTTTCTGTTGGAGCGGTATGATTTCGGGCAGAGACGTACTTAGCCCTCCTCGTCAACTGGAGAGTGACTACTTTTTCCTTTATTTTTTTTTTACTTGGTCGCCCTCGTTTCACTACACATTACCTTTGTTATTTCAAGGGTAGTTGTTTCTGAAAAGGAAAACCCCAACTTTGCGGACACCCTGTATATTAGTACCTTTTATCATCTCTATCAGATTGTACATCTGAGTTAAAAGACTCGCTACCGATCTAAGAAGCTACACTCAAACAAGTTCCCTAGTACAATCAGGCTCTGACTCGTAAGCGGATGCAGCGGGTCGCGTGCACCGCCGTTAACATAGCAGACAACATCATATCATTAAGTTGTAACTATATACAGGGTGTTCATTTGAACTTTTTGAGAATCATATAAGAACTAACTAAGAATAAGTACAATAATATATAATAAAACAATTTTATTGGTATCGTTAGAATACTGCTTCGCGTTAGTTAGTATGCTTTTTTTTAAGCATATTAAATTCTCTGTAACTTTACTATGCGGTTAACAGGTTATGAGATATTGCTGTCTTATTAATGACGTGATTCGGTAAATCGGGGGTTAAGTTAAAAGTCGAATATCTTCATCAGGGAAGCATTATCAAACCAGTGTTGCCATTTATACTTTCTGCAATGACCAGCTGTGTAATAATGGTGATAACGTACTGTATGACATTTGAGGGGTCATTTAATATTCACTAATACATAAACATATAATCCTGAGCGTGAAGGGTTAATGGTTCTCGAAGTATAAGTGAAAATGAAAAATTCGTATCAACACATTATATGTATATACGCTATCCACGTGTCAGCCTATAAAACATTTATTCATTTGGGGATGAGTCTATAGTATAATCATTATTTATGATCAAGAATACCATTTCAAATTGAATTAAATTTTTAACAGCTACGCATAAACATGGAAAATCCAATATTTCTGTCATAAAAATCCAATTCACCCACTTGGTATAACATCGGCAACCGTTGCAACTATACCACTCAAAAAAGCGTGCAAGAAAAAAAATCACTTATTTTCGGTCATCTTTGACCAGCTATATTTTGGTGAAACATGGCCGTACATAGACTTAAAAAAAGCTTTTACAGGTTCAAGATTCCAGTTGTCAGGTTTTTCAACCGGCAAGAATTCAACTTTCTCAAAAAACGACTAATAAAAAATTTCTAAAAACCCTTGCGCGTCTATGATCGGGACTTGTTTTCTGGGTAAATCGGGTGCGTAGATTCCAAATTCGATGACGATACATTGCTAGAGATTACGGCTAGCCCGGAAAAATAGTTTCTTGTCAACTTTTTACCGTAAATCCAGTCAGATAACACTTAAGAAATTTTTCACTGCGATATTCATATTCAGCGCCCCAAATTACCTCATTGTGCAAAGCTCCGCTCTCATGTAGCCATCGATAGTAAAAATGCATTTTTAGCACCTTAAAGTAGCAAAAAAACGCCTACTTTTGCAAATATTGGCCTTCTAGATACGACGATTTATCACCGAAATACAGCCTGTCAAGAATTACCGAAAAATTTGGATTTTTTCTGGCTCCCTTTTATGACTAGTGTACTTTAATGAAAGAGAAGAGGTAGTAGATTTTTATATGCTTTTTGTGGAAAAAGGAACAAATCTAATATCCATAATTTTACGCAGGTATATTAGAAATGAGCAATGGGTATCCAAACTCGTCATCACCAATGGGTGGTTCACCGTCTCCAGGTCCAAGTCCAGGTCCTGGTATGAGCAGTTCCAAGCATCCAAAACAACATTCACCAGGTTCACGGTCCAACCTGAGGGTAGTAATACCTACACCACTTGGACCAGGTATTAGCCCAGAAGACGTTTCATATTCAGAGGTACGTTTATGACGAATTTCTGCTCTTTTATTTGTGTTTGGATTTTGTAGTCGTTTGCTGTCGTTTACAAACGTGAGAAACGAACAGACGCGCGTTGCTTTGAATATCTATACTGAGTGATAAAAAAAGCGTGTTACAACACAAAAACCTGACCATTTCATCGCTTGTTGTTCATGGCAAGATAAATCGATATGTAAAAAATTCTTGAATTCTAATAAACATACGTACGTGTTTACCTTTTTTTGTCACTGAGTATATTTCCAAAAAACTGAAAATAATAAAAATTTTACGTGGCTATTACATAACGTGAAAAATTTTGGAGGTGATTCACAAACTGTTTTTTGTGTCGTGTTAGAAGAAGTGTCTAGTGTTGATTGGCTTATACGTCTTCAATTTTTCGTTTTGACATCTCAGTTAAGAGAGGCGTTTAAATATATGGTGGTTCCAAAACATTGAGGAAAATATCAGCGGTGATTATAAAAATAAACCCACAATGAATTTGATCCTATCTATAGGGGAACATACTTGGAGATTTTTGAGATTTAGATATGATCCACCAAAACTATGAAAAAAAAAACAACAAATTAATATCTTTTGTTTTTTTTAAACAACATAATTTTGCAACAAACTTTGAAATTTGTTTTATCCTCCTAAGATTTTCTGTTTTGACTGCCAATATCATTTTTGTCGGTGCTAATTCTATAATTTTAACGAATACCAAAAAGTTTCGATACTGTCCGTAGATGATGCGTTTAAAAGTCCACAAAATGGTATAAAGCCAAAGGGGAGGTATACCAACCAAGAGAAGACAATTAGACAAGGCGAATAAAATCAAAGAGAGACCGGAACCAATTTATTTATTGCTGGTATCTTAAACACAAGATCGTGTGGGATGGTGTTCAAGAACCTCAACATTCTCTATATTTATGAGATCAGTATTTACATCTATAGAAACAGAATAAAATTCAAAAATAACTATGATATTCATCTTAGGAATACCTTGTTTTATAAAGTATCCTCCCGACAAGAATTTCAGTGCGGACCTGTATTTGATCGTGCGGTCTTGGAGCACTGGCATGCCCTCCCCTGTGAGGTCTTAAGTCACCTGATTCACGAGCCCTTTGTACTACATTAACAAAGGCACGAGGGGTTGGTTGCACTCGATTGGGAAACCGATCTGCATAAATCCGTGATGCCGCGGCAGCATTTTGTAAAGACTCCCCCCCGTAAATAAGAATAATGTCCACAAGTTCAGCATTTTCGTAAACATGTGCCATTTTTTATTTCGTTTGAGCCACGCAACAAACACCACTATTCACTCACGCGTTACCGACTGATACATTGACTGAATGCAACTGAATAAAATTGTAGTAAAGACATCGTGATACGCGTTTCAAATTCTTTCGCTTTTTTGTTTCCGATGCGATGAACCGATAAGGCGGATTATATCCGTTGTTGCCAAACACAAAACAACAAAATATCCTACCTCCACTTTGACAGAACCGTGTCTATATTTCCGGCCTACGCTCTAATGTGTGATGTGTGTGCATGCTCTAACCTAACATTTCTGCATTTGCCGTTTGCCGCAGCCCTCACGGTCTCACCCTCACCCGTCTAACTCGCCCGTGGTGGCATTACAGACGCCTGGAGGCGGCAGCGGGTTGTCGTATCCTTCTGCGGCGCTGCAGTCATTCGGCGCGCAGGACTTCACAATCGGTGGCAGCAGCGGCGATATGACGGGCCTGGCGTCGATGTCCTGGCCCGGGGGGCACCAGCTGCCCACCGCAGCCGGCCCGGGTCCGTGTTTGCCACACCTGGCAGTCTCCAGCAGCACCCCCCCGCCGGCGTCTTCCAGCCCCCTACCTATCAAGATCAAGAGCGAGCCCATATCGCCGCCCAGGGATCACCATCATCCCCATCTGGCTTCTACGGCGGCTGTACATCACTCCCAAGTGCAGACACTCAACTTGACACACAGGTATGGTTCAAATTTTTCTTTTCAGCGAGTAGATCATCCCCAGACAGTACATATACGTCCATTGGATGTCTATTAGATATCCATGGTGGATAGATAAACACTTCCAATGCGTATCCATGTATGACTAAAATGGATATTATGGATATCCACCGAATGTTCGATAAGTATCCAATTGTTTATCATTGGATGTCTATTAGATATCCACTGGATTATCATATTCATCTAATGAATATCCAGGTCAGCCTATATCCAACAGTGGATATGGATATCCTATGTATATCTAACGGATATTATGTATTATGTATAGAATTGCTTTTTTCTTATTGACGCCATGTTGAATTTTTGCACAGATGAATAGAGTTTTTAATTCTGATTCTAAAAGTGTATAATACGTCATACATTGACATTGCCAAACCTTAATTATTTAGAATAAGCAAATTATCAGATTGTTAATCGTTTCGCTTACTAGATTTATCCCAAAATCGCTTTTATTTTTTCCTGACGTTAAGATGGGATTTCAAAATACTGCATGTAACACAACGTTTACGAGTAAACTTAACATTTTTGTGTGCTATTATCTATACTAAGTGACATATAAATCCGAACACCCAGTTTAAATGGTTTTATTTTAATAAAATTTTGTAAAAGTACTTAGTGAAGCATAATAAGTAAATGATAAAAATTTCAAAATGATTGCACTGCTTTAAAGCCCTTTGACCTTTAATAATGTGTGGATGCACCCTGATGTGCTACGCATTCTCCAACGCGCCTAGGCATGCTTCTGATCAGGTGGTCAATGTCCTCCTGTGGTATCTCATTCCAGGCAACCACCAACTCCTCTCAAAGTGCTTCTAGAGTCTGAGGAGGACGTTGCAAATTGAGCAATCTCCTGCCCATCATATCCCACACGTGCTCAATTGGGGATAAGTCGGGAGATCTTGGTGGCCATGCTAACAATGTGACATCATTATGTTGAAAGAAGTCTATTGTGACTCTTGCAACATGTGGTCGGGCATTATCTTGTTGGAAAGTTGGATCTGCCAGGGTGTCAAGATAGGGTAAAAGATGGGGATCTAGAACTTCGTGGATATAACGCTGCGCGTTCATGTTACCTCTGATGAAGATTAAAGGTGACCTGGAACCATAAGCTATAGCACCCCAAACCATAACTCCAACAGTGTGATGAACATGTCTTTCAATAAAAAACTGTGGATTCCTCCTTTCACCACGTCGCCTTCTAACCCTGGCACGACCATCGTGCATGCCTTAACAAAATCGAGACTCGTCATTAAAGACAATACTGTTCCATTCCTGATCCCAGAGTGACCGTTGTCTGCACCACTCAAGGCGATTACGTCGGTGTTCTCGAGTTAAAGGGAGGACCCAGTGTGGCCGGTATGAAAACAAGCCAAAACTTCTCATTCGTCGGTAAACACTTCGCATGCCAATAGGTCTTCCGTGTTCTGCAAACCATTCATTTGCAATTGACCTGGTAGTGGAGAAACGGTCCCTTAAAGCCAATAATCTTAGGCGGCGATCTTCACGGACTGTTGTTCTACGGCGGCGTCCAGTGCCCCTTGCTCTTTTCGTACGGCCTTCTCGAAGCCATGCCTGACAACACCTAACCACAGTGTCTACACTTCTTTGCACTCTAACTGCAATTGCCCGAAAAGAAAGTCCAGCTTCCCGAAGTCCCACTATACGGCCCCTATCAAACTCACTAAGTTGACGAAATCGCACAGGTCTCCGTACTCTAGGCATCGTAACAGATCGTAAAGGATGTCAAGAACCAAAATCCGCCAACGTTGATTCTTTACTGCGGCTGAAATATTCATTTTTAGAGCGTTAGTGAATTAAAAAAAAATCAGTATAAAAACCGGAATGTCCAACTGATAAGGCTGAAAGTTTTTTCACTTGTTACTTACAGAAAGATAAATACATTCACCAACTTTTATTAAAATAAAACCATTTAAACTGGGTGTTCGGATTTATATGTCACTTAGTATATTTGTACATGAAATGTAGACAACTAAGATCTAGGCGTAAACGACCAACACTGACTGCAACCCATTTGGTTTTTCATTAAAATTTGATGTTTCAGTCACCATCCGCGGCCGAGTTCAGCCGGCCAAATGACTTCAACTGGCGGCAGTGTGACTCCGACGAACCTCCCGTCTCCAGGAGGCGGTCCAGCCAGCGTGGGCGGCGCAGGCCAAGGGGGCGGGACCAATGGTCAAGGGGGCGGAGACTACGGTGACGCGGTGCAGATGCACAAGCGCGCCAGACTGTCCGATTGGCCGTCCTAGGCCGAGGACGCCGGGGCGGTGCCTGGAAGCCCGGCGTCCGGTTCCAGCCCTGTCGTCTGGTACGCCAGATGGGGACGGCCTGTTCCGATGTCGTACCGCGCTAGTGCACACGATGACGGATAGATGGCGGCCGCGTGACACACACATTCACAAACGCGATACATTGGGACGAAAGCATTTGGGATACTGAGCTTCACCGACATTCGCGACTAATGCGCTGTATATGGTACACTTGACTGGACATGAAATTTTGTAAAAAATGTAGGGTTTTTTATGGTTGAGAAACGTGGAAGAAGTACCTAAGGTGAAATGGCTCCGAATTTGTAGAGGTACGCTAGAGTTGCCCAGCATTGAATTTTCTCCGATCTTCTGTAAATTCAGTCAGTTCTGCTGATATTGTACCTCTATTCTTTCAAAATCTTTTCATCTTAGTCATCAGATCAGCATATTGTGCTCTAGAGAATTGCAAAATACTGATATTAGGAATAAAGCTATTTTTCTATGTAATTTTTTTGCTTTGTGCAAATAAGAGGTCATTGTAATATTACAGTGCAATAGTTCTATGTCGGTTGAGATTGCTATCACAATGCTAGTAGCCCTTCTACCCAGGACTATCCAAAGCTGTTTGTCATTAAATTTCAGTTTCCTCCTATCGATGCGAATCAGTATATTTTATTTTTACCCCAATTACTGGTTTGTATGTTGGACGTAGCCTATGTTTTGGTGTACAAGGTTATCTAGTTGAAGCCTCAAAATGGACATTGACATTGTGTGGCTGGTTCACTCGAAAAGGAATGCAGTCTTTATTGATCAGAGTAACAATGAAATCATGTACTTTTCATCTAGTCAATGGTTATGTAGATTGAAACATTAGGAGTCAAATATTTTTGGGATTGACCTGTATTTTTGAAACTTTATATACACCAAAACATATGTGACACACTAAATATGTCAAAGAGGCCGGGTTAGATAAACCATGCGGTTTTTGGACAACATAAGATTCGATATGTACATACGCACTGATTTTGTTTATTAAGACATCGAAAAATTTGCATCCGTTGCAATTTTTTCATGTCTCATTCATTTTGTTTTATAATTCCTCCGTTTTCACTTGATCCAGATCAATGTGATCTTATCATTGGCAGAGCCAACTGTAATGAAATGTTAGCGTGTGATTAGTGTATAGTTTGTCATCTTGACAGATGACTTAACACTGTCATTTGTATGTAGTACTTTACAGTGGTATTGCAAGTATTGTAACACTTACGATTGAGCAACTCTGATTTCTGTGATGGTTGGTCTGTCTGGCTTTTTTGACAGCGACATCAGCGTTGGAGTCCAATGGGTTACCTGCGACAAAAAAGAACCAATTGCCAATTGTCATCCATGTGATACACTACGGAGTTTAGTAGGACATGTAATATTACCAAACCCGTTATTTTAATATTTTCATTTGTAGTGGCTAAGTGAAGAGATCTTTTTTTCGGATGTTTTTATCAGAATGTCTTGTGCGGTGAGTTTGTTTCAATATTGAAACATGAGTATGGTACATGCAAGGAATATACATCATTTATAGTATTCCAGAAAATCTCGTGTGGAAAGAAATAGCTCTGATAGAAATGTTGCTGTTAGATATAAGTCTCAATCAAGCAGTAAGTTATTGATAAAAATTGTCTATAAAAATACACTTTCCGAAACCTCGCTTCTTATGAAGCATTTCGGATATTATTTGTTTTTAAATTGTGATATGCAGTATTTGAAGCTGCATATGTAACAATACAGGTCAAAATGTAAAAGTATTTAATATGTTGGCAATTTTATCAAACTTTCCGGTTTTGACTTGAGATAGTTCAGTTATGGTGTACAATTTGATTGTTTGTTGAAGCACCACTTCTATAGCTGCTTTGTATTAGTTACAAAACTCATTATAAACATATCCCGTACTATTTCATTATTTTTTGCGATTTTTTTTTTAAGGAAAACAGTGAATATATCCAACAGACCAACATGTATTTCTGACGGGTTGATGCTTTCGAACATCTTTGACCAGTAAGTTAGGATGTTATTTTATTGGATTTGGGAACAATGTGCAATGCTAAGTGCAATTATGGTTCACTGGTTGAAGATTTTATTTATATCATAGATCTGATGTGTATTTTACAACTGAGAGATCGCGTGGTATCACGCATATTTAAACCCTAACCTTCAACATTAAATCGTACACTTTTAGTATCCAGATCTCATTGTTGATTTGAATAAATCGTCTGAATAAATACAAGGGACAGGTTTAAAAAGTTTAAAGCTTGAATTAGAAAGTCATTCTAGGACGTGTAGGCCCGATTTTACTATCGACCCACAGGAGGAGGCGTTTTTCAAGTGATGGATCTAACGTATTAAATCAAGAAACACTTCATGTATCACCTGGCTTAGCTACAAAATCCTATTTTTTCCGAATGACAACATAATATAACATCAATTACCGAGTATTTAATTGACAATAAATGCCTGTTCGCTTGGGGCTAGATCTGGTGTGTCAAGCAGTTCAAACTTTCTGCATATATGACCGTTATCCGCAAGTTCTAAATTCAGCTTTTTAAGTAATGATCCTAGTTTCATCTACAGTAATCAGCGCCAAAACTAGGATTTATTGAGCCTAAACTGCGCCAACAGATCGTTAGAAATGTTCATTGTTAATATAGTTACAGTCAAAACTCATAAAGGTGTTAGTACGATCGGGCCGTAGCGACAAAAGTCAGGACTTGCAGTCTCG